TAATCTGATGTCCTCATTTCCTATATCAATCAGTGTTTATTCCTTTCTCCTGCCTGATTGCTCTGGCTGAAATTTTAAGTGCTGTATTGAAATGAACAGTGGAGTGAGCACCTTTTTTTGTTGTTGTTGTTCCTAACATTAGAGGAAATTCTTCCCGTTTTTCCCTGTTCCATATGATATTGGCTGTGTGTTTCATTATACAGCAGTTCTTGCATTGAAGAATGATTTTTCTATTCCTGGTTTCTTCAGGGCTGTTATCATGAAGAGATGTTAGATTTTATCAAACGTTTTTTCTGCGTTTATTGGGATGATCATCTGATTTTTATTGTTCATTTGATTTTCTGTGATGTATCACATTTACCTGTACTTGAGCCATCCTTGCACCACTGGAATGGATTTGATTTGATCATGGTGGCTGATCTTTTTAATGTGCTGGGGAGCTGGATTTGCAAGTGTTTTGTTGAGGATGTTTGCATCTGTGTTCATCATGGATGTTAGTCATAGTTTTACTGTTTTCTTGTGTTCTTGTCAGGCTTTGGTAACAGGACATGGCTAGCTTCATAGAACGAATTTGGAAGGGTTCTCTTCCTTTCAGTTTTATGGAATAGTTAGAGAAGCAATGGTGTTCATTTTTCTTTAAAACCTCGGTAAAATTCAGCGGTGAAGACATCTGGCCCTGGGCTTTTCTTTGGAGATTTTGTTACTATTTCTACTCTTTCAATCTCATTGCTAATGCTGGTCTATCCAGATTTCTTATGTCCTCTTGGTTCAATTTTAGTAGGTCATATTTGTCCAGAAAATTGTCAGTTTCTTCTAGATTTCCAATTTGTTAGCATATAGTTTTCATAAATAATTGCTAATGATCCCTGAGTCGTTGCAATGTTTCCTTTGTCACCTCTAAGGTCATTTGGGCTCTCTCATTCTTTGTCCTTAGTCTATCTGAAGGTTGTGAGTTCTACGATCTTTACGTAGAACCAACTCTGCTCATTGATTTGCTGCATTGTTTCATTTTTCTGGGCTGATCTTTATTATCGGTTTGCTCTTGCTTTCTAAGACTTTGAGATGCATTAGTTCAGTTTAAATCTATTTTTTTGATGTAGCCACTCATTTTTATACACTTCCTCTCAGCCTTGTTTTTGCTGCACTCCATGGGTTTTTGGTAAGCTGTGTTTGCATTTCCATTTCATTCAAGGAATTTTATAATTTCTCTCCTGACTTCCTCAGTAATCCACTGTTCATTCAAAAGTGTGTTCTGCAGGACTGGGAGCCTGGCTCAAGTGGTGGAACACTTGCCTAGCAAGGCACTGAGTTCAAATCCTAGCACTGCAAAAAAATTTAAAGAGTGTGTTGTTCAGTTTCCATCTATTTGTATAACTTCTCATTTCAGTCCAGAAAAAATACAAAATTCCATTTAAAAAATATGTTGAGCCTGGGCCTAAAATATGGTCCATTCTAGAGAAATCCCCATGTGCTGATGGAAGGAAATCAGGGTCTGCAGCTCTTAGGCAGAATGTTCTGAAAATGTCACATGCTTTTGATTTAAGGCATGGTTTAACTCCAGTGTTTCTTAGTTGATTTTTGGTTCATTTTGGTCTGGATGACCTGTCCATTGCCGGGAGTAACACCTGTTCAGCCCTTTTGGCTCCTTCCTCCCTATTAATATCTTTTCCAGTATTGGGCTTTGAACTCAGGGCCCGGTGCTTGCTGGACAGGCTCCTTGCCATGTGTGCCACGCCCCCAGCCCTCTTTGCTTTATTTTTCAGATAAGGTCTTATGATTTTTGCCTGGGCTGGTCTCATACTGTGATCCTCCTATTGCTGCCTGCCAAGTCACTGGGATTATAGGGGTGAGCCACTGTACCTGCCCCCTTATTGGTATCTTCAGAGAGGTGCTTAACTAATCAATTCTCTGTCTTTATCTGTTCTGGAGTTTGAACTCAGAACCTGCTATGCAGATGCCCTACCACTTGGGTCATGCCTCCAACCCCATTTCCAATACTTAAAGTTAATACTATAAAGAAACTTCCATTCACTATTCCAAATCTCACTACCAAATCTCACTACATTTTAGTACATAGAATTTCCATTGCCATTCCCTCTTTTTATATAAAATCCTTATCTTCATAGATGATCTTTTTGTTAATATATTAGCTTAAATTTTTATTAGCATACGTGACTTATACAAGAGGGTTTCACTGTGATGTTTCTGTAGACTCATTCAGTGGACTTGGAATAAGTTTACCCTCCCTGGTATACTCTCTTAATCTTCTTCCCGCTTTCCAAATGGTATTTAGTAGGTTTCATTATGCTATCTTTGTGTATGTATGCATGAATATGCACAAAAAAAGCAGAACCAAAACAATAAAAATGCCCAAACCCAAAAGATAGTCCCAAAATACAATATTGTCTCTGCTGCTTTGTTATTCTGTGTTCCCTCAAAGTCTGAGCAGTTAGTTCAGTAGGGAAGCCTGGCTGGAGGCTTAGCTCAAGAGGAAGGTGGCTTCTGAAAGTCCTGGGCTACTTCCCCAGCACAGGAGGGTAGAGCTTTGATGGTAAGGTTCCATGATGGCTTCTGGGGTCCAGTCTCTCTACCCCTTAGTGCCTGCTCATTCCCCACTCATATCCTCCACCCTCCACCTCCAGGTCCCTGCTAACTCAGTTTGTTGTTGTTCAGTCAGGCTTTATCCTGGGTCTGATGCGGTGGACACTGGGTTTCCTGGTACTTTTCCCAGTCATGCCACTTATGTCCACACCACTGAGATCTTCTAGATGAAGCTGTGACTAGTAACCTTTTGTCTTATGGGGGCATCTGTGATGGGGTTGGTGTGGTCCGCTTGGTTTGCCCCATGGGCCAACCAGACTAGACCAAAGATCTCTGCCACCGCACCTTCTCTCACCCAGCTCTCTTCCCTTTTGCCTTCAGAGTCCATGGGTCTGTGCCTCGTTGTCCACAGACCCATACCCGCCCTTGAAACAGTGATGGACTCAAAGCCACTGTGCCATAGGCACTGACTCCCATAGCAGTTCTGCAGGGAGTTTAGGTGAGAATAGCTGTTCAAGAAGATGTGCCCATGAAGAGCAATGCTGGGTGATGTCACTCGGCCACCATCTTGCTTGTGATCCCTTAATTTAAAATATTCTCTTCCGTTGTCTACATTCTCTGTGCCTTCCAAATTTATTCCTTCCTTCCTACTGCTTTCCTGACTTTCCTACTGATGAGTTTCCTCCAATGTCTGGTAATGACCTGGCACTCTACATCGGTAAGAGCGAGGCTAATTGACATCATTGTCAGCTGGGTGGCATCGCTCTATGGTTACTGAACCATCTCCAAATGCCCATATCTACACAGCACCATTCTCCTTCCAGAGACAGATCTTCAAGCTGGTGCCCTGCTGGCAGTTTGGGAATTGGGAAGTAAAGGTTACTATCCGTACACAGACTTCCCTTTCATACCTAAGTTCCAGGCTGTCTTCTCATCCTGTGCCCATGACCGTGGGTCCCAGGCTGCATATCCTAATTGTTCTAGAGGAAAATGAGAAAATGTTACACTTGGCTACAAGGTGGGCACTGAGAAATCTAACTGCCTCAGGAACAGAATGTCACCACCCTCGCCCCTGCCGTTGACCCTTCCACTCACTCCAGTGCTCCTGTGGCACCTGCTCCTTCCCCCGATGCTCCCTAGGGTCCCCGAGGCAGATGGGGCTCCTCTGATCAGGAAGGTCACTGGCCATCTTCCTGCCACCTCCTTATAAGGGTTCACTTTCTCCTTCACCTTGTCACCTTGGAGAGACCTCCCAGAGAAGGTGGCAGGAATGTCTTTATATTGCCATCATGCAAGCGTTCAGGTTTATCCCCAAAAGAATCCACACTCTACCTAGGCTTGCGTTCCTAGTTCTCTCACCCACTTTTTCAGCTTCCCGTGGAGAAGCCCTGTCTCTACCCACTGACCTCCTTCATGGGCAAGTAAGACTTTAAATCCTCCTATCAGTCCCGTTCCCTCCCTCATTATGTCACTTTTATACAAACTCCCTATTGGTCGGTTGGCTTTCTTTTTATATTTATTTTCTTATATTGTTGTTCTGAGGACACATTGTGACATTTACAAAAGTTCTTACAGTATATCACAGTTAAATTCACCCCCTCCATTCTTCTTTAATCTCCCTCGCCCCATTCCTGGAGTAGTTTCAGCAGGTCTCTGAGTACATAATATTCCACCATATTCACCATCCAACACCCTTTCCTTATATCCTCCCCCTTCCCACTGGTACCAATCCCCAGGCAGGGCCTGTTTTACCTTCCTGGTCTCAATTTTTGAAAAAAAGACATTTTTGTTTAAGATCATTATACAGTATGATTCACTGTGCATTTCCATGTATATATTTATCATGACCTGAATTGGTTCATCCCATCTATTTTTCTCCTTTGTACCTTAGTCCCCTTCCTAGGGTGATTTCAACAGGTTTTTATTAATTCTTATATAGGAAATGCATCAACCATATTCAACTTCTTAATTTCTTTATTTTACCTTCCCTCTGTCATTAATGACCTCTCCTTAGTGCAACCTGTTTTCATAATATTGCTGTATTTGTATTGTGTCTGTCCCCACATATGAGAAAGCATGTAGCTTTGGCTTACGTCACTTAACATGATGTCCTCTGATCCGTTCACCTTCAAACCACATCAGTTAGCTTTCTGATATGAACATATCCATAGCTTTTAGCTTTCTTGAGCGACTGCAAAAGCACAGTTGGCCTCTGTGCTGTAAGATGAGGCTGTTCTTCTCTGGTCCCTGAACTCTGCCCACTGGAAGATTCTACAAAGGAGACAGGGAGACTTTCCTGAGCATGTGGCTTTTAATGAGGTGGGTTGACTCACCTTTCCTAGGAGGCAAGGGCAGCTAGAGGTCATTCTCCCCCTCCAGAGCAAACGCCAAGGCTGCAGCTTTCCTATTTCTTCTGTCTGGGGTTCCTGAATGAATTCTTTCACCATCTTTGTCTTCAGATCCCCTTCCTCGGAGCTGGAATTAAGATCCATGAGAAAAGGGTATCAGACAATCTGCGGCCCTTCCATGACCGGATGGAGGAGTGTTTCAAGAACCTGAAGGCGAAGGTGGAAAAGGAATATGGTGTCCGAGAGATGGTACGGTGGTCCTTGAGGTGGGGTGAGGGACAGTGGGAACAGCCAGAAGGGAAGCTGCAGAACCACCACCCTCCAGGAGGAAGGAGCTTGTCTCTCAGTTCCCCCCACATATGTACCTGTCACACAGCGGACCATGTAAACAAATTTGCCAGGCCTGATTTATATAAGCACTTGACATCTACTAGTCATTTTGTTATCATAACAAGCTGGTAGGGTTGATTTTTAATGTCTTTTCTGAAGTTCACAGGTGTTAAATAACTTACCAAAGACCACAAAGTTAGCAAGTGAAGGCCACCAGAGTCTGTGCCTGGCTCTCTGACTCCTGGCTTTTGGCCACTAATCTCCAGGTCCTTACCTTCTTCTGCCTAAAGCAGAATCCTAACGCATCATCGCCATGCAGGACCCTGAAGAGCCTAGAGGCGAACTCAGGCCTCGGGGCCTTGACTCTGGGTTTGTCCCATGAGTGAGGTTGCCTTGTTCAACACTTCTGTAATGAAATTCTGACACTAAATGCTTGGATCCCCAGGTTAAGAGCAAGTCCTATGCACGCAAGCCTGGACTCCTCTGCTAACCCCCTGTCTTCCCACAGCCCGACTTCGAGGACAGGAGACTGGGCCGCCCCCGGTCCATGCTTCGTTCCTACAGGCAGATGTCCATCATCTCGCTGGCGTCCATGAATTCTGACTGCAGCACTCCCAGCAAGGCTACCTCAGAGAGGTCAGTCCCTAGCCTGAGCCTTTCTGTGCTGGCCGCTCATTAAACCTCACAACCACCCATGAGCTGCCTGGTCTAGGGCCACTTTTAGAGGTCACTGGTGGTGTTATTCTGAGGACCCAGAACTCACTGCAGCCCTCAAGCTCCCAGTCCAGTGCTCTGTTGGACAGCAAGCACTCCTCACTGAGCCTGCATCCATCTAGAATGTCCCCTCTGACAGGGGTCTGTCCCTCCCAAGGGGATATCCCCATCATGGCACTGCTGCTATCAGCAGCCCTCTTCCACCATCTTGGAGCCCTGAGGCCCTTTCCTGCCCAACTCAGCTGTCTTAATCAGACACTCGGAGCCTAGGGCACAGATGTCATGGCTACCCTGAGGGTCCCTTTCACTGAAAAAGAAGCGGTGCTGGGAGAAGCGAGGAATTTGCCTGGTTAAGAAGTGGATTTGAATCCAGAACCATGTTTTTACCCAGTGTTTTCTCATGGCGCCACCTTAATCACTCCACCGTCTTCTGAATATTTGCACCTTAAGCAGGCAGCTCCCCAACCCACCTGCAGGTTAGCTGCTCTACTGTGGCCCTACAGTGAGCGCTCAGCCAGCAGGAAGGTCCTCCTTGGCCCTGGGTCCCCTGTATGGCAGGTCCCCTGGAGCTCTAACCGCAGTTTCCACTGCCGTCCCTCCCGTCAGCTTCGACCTGGAGGTCGCACCACCCAAGACCCCGAGAGCAGAGGGGGAGCCTATCTCCCCAGGGAGCACCCTGCCCGAGGTCAAGCTGCGGCGCTCCAAGAAGCGAGCCAAGAGGAGCAGCGTGGTGTTCGCCGACGAGAAGGCAGCGGCCGAGTCCGACCCGAAGCGGGTGAGCAGACGGGCAGGGCAGGTGGCCTGGTCACCACTTAGCAGGGCTCTGTGGCCAGGCCACGCCACCATGACAGCCTCACTCCCACAGGTAGCAGTGGGAGGTGAGGTGCAGGTGTCAGGTGAACCCATCAGACTCCGGAGCTTGGAAGGCTGGGGAGCAGAAGCCTGTTCTCCCACTCCAGGGACAGCAGCTCCCGGGTCCCTCTTTCCCAGTCCCATTCTAACCCCTGACATGTCAGCCACCTGGGTGGGGTACAGGGCTGCAACTCTCACCACTGTGGCTGAACATTTTGTTCTTATAATTGATAATCACATCTGGTAGCAGACAGCCCTGAGTTCAGTCTCAGTTTCCCACTGGACAAGAAGCGTCCTGAGGACCTAGGAGGGACAGACGCCTTCTGATGAAGGACGGACCCTCCCAGGGCCTCTGAGCCTGTGCTCACCCAGGGGAGAAGAATGGAACTGTCTTCCGTGTTTTGCCATTCTCCCGTACGCCATTTACTTGACACTTAATAAATCCTCTCCTTCAACACTGCTGGAGTTGCAGGAGCAACCACACATGGCAGACTACGATGGAATGGTGTAACACAGATAAATGAACGTTCCCCCAAAACAGACTCCATAGAAACCTGCAAAGCCCTTGCTGTTTTAGGGTCAGATATGCCTCACCCCAAGCCTCTGTGTGTGGTGTCTTCTTCATTCAGCTTTCTAGAAAGCACGAGTTCATGAGTGACACCAACCTCTCAGAGCACGCAGCCATTCCTCCCCGCGCATCCATCCTCTCTCAAATGAGTTTTGCCAGCCAGTCTATGCCCACCATCCCAGGTAGGTACCCTGCCACAGCACCCCGGGGCGGGACAGAAGCAGTATGGGAACCCAGCCTAGTAGGTGCTGGATGGACAGAGGCCATCTCCACAGAGCGAGTGGGGCCAGGCATGCAAGGCTGAGCTCCTCTGACCTCTCCTCACACCCACCACCTCCTGTGGATGAAGCTGTCCCAGCAGATCAGCCTGGGACAGAGGCCTGCTGTCCCTCAGGAGTCACCAGGTTGACTGCATTCTCAGTTAACCAGCCTCTCAGGGCCCAGAAGTCTGCCCTTGGCATGTTGCTAGGATTGTGACTCCTTTGGGCCTTAGTGACAATTTCTGGATTCACAAACTTGTCACCTCATCTGACAGGCAGTGTTAGATGCACCAGTGTCGTCTGTTTCCCTCCCACTGCTCACTCACTGTCCAGGGACAAGGGTAGCAGCCCACAGTTGAGCGTTTCTAACAGAGACATGGCACACCCAGGAGCAATCAGCCTGTCCAGTCCGTGTGGACTCCAGAGAGCACAGCGTCGCCAGCCCTGGCCTCCCATCCTGCTGGGCACACGATAGGTGGTCCTTAGTCCCTCTCCTCCAGCCACTCACTCGTGCCTGGCTCTCTCCTTTAGTCCTCACGCTGTCAGTGGCAGGCATTTCTGGATTGGATGACACCAACACATCTCCCCGCCTCAGCCAGACCTTCCTCCAACTCTCAGACGGTGACAAGAAGACGCTAAAAAGGAAGAAGGTCAATCAGTTCTTCAAGACGATGGTGAGGAGCCACAGAAGTGGAGGGGAGGGACAAAGGAAGACAGCATGAGAGAAAACGGGTGTGTGTGCTGTTTGCATAGCAGTGAGGCATGCTGGGGGGCTCTGACCTCAGGGCCCCTGGCACCTCGGACCCTGCAGGTGGCTGGCCCTAACCTAAGTCTGAGCCCCATAGTCACTGCCAGTGGAAACACGGTGCTTTGGGAGGGAGTGTTTTCCTACCCTACCCACATTTCAAAGTGCTTTCAATTAAGTTAGCTTTGAATTACTAACTCTTGCTGTCCCATCACCTGTTGTCACTTGCCTGTCTCCGGTGCTAACCCCCTTCTGATCCTCAAGGTAATATTAATCAGACCCGAGCTTCTATAAAAATCACATGTTAACTGCGAGCATTCAAAAAGTCAGGCACCACGCGGAGCCCGGCCCCACCAGTGTCCAGTTTAACCCGCCACTGTTGGGATGAAGGGTTCTTTTAAGGACCATGACCTCAGATGAGGGGTTCTTAAAGGAACATGACCTCCTGAGTTCACACAGCTAGAGAGAGGCCTGTGAAAGAGCAAGGCAGTGCTCTAGCCACTGCTCCATGCCACCCTCAAGGTCACTGCCAGTCCAGGTGGGCGTAGGTCAGCATGGAAGCTCACCTCTGGGGCTCACAAGAATCCCACCTGGGTGTTTCTTTTAAAGCTGGCCAGCAAATCTGCTGAAGAAGGCAAGCATCTCCCAGACTTCGTGTCCACTGATCTGTAAGATGCCACAAGCACTGCTGCACAGGGGGACGCTTCCAGAAGTGGAGATGCATGGGTAGACTGCCCCTACACATTGTCCTCACTTGGAAGCGACAGAGGGGCCAAGTGGACCCCAGAACTTGAACGGCGGGGAGCTCAGCATCCTCTGGGGCAGCCCCACACTGGATTCTCGGACTGCAAGGAGCCAGCATGCTCTCCCAAGCACCCTGTATAAGCAGAGCTGTGTTTTACTTTATTTTCTAACAGAATTTCATTTTTAGTTAACGGTTTTCTACTTTACATTTTTTAATTTTTCTACCTGATAATCTCCAAGGTGTTGTTCTTTCTTACTGACAATAAAAATGATTCTGTGATTCTAATTCTGTTGGCTGAGTCTGTGAAGTACAGAGCTGCGTAGGAAGTTCCCCGGATGGAGGGCAGCCAGGACCACAGAGATGCAAAGAAGCCGGACACTGGCCTATCGCGATGCCTAGTGTTCCTGCCTTCCTCACGCTACCCTTCAAGAATCTTCTGACTGGTTTCTCAGGCGCCACACACAAGGGTACCACGGTGCTCAGAAAGTCCACCCAGAGTCTTCTTCTTTTGTGGTCTACCAGAGACTGTCACAACACCTTCCTCTGGAAAAACCACCCAACCTGGTCACTTTAATAACCACCCCAGCCAAGTGCAAACGAGTTAGGAAAAGAGAGGTTGGAGGGTCAGGGGACCGCTGGTCCAAGCTTTGGGTCCTATCACCAGAAGTGGTGGCTTTTTTGGAGGGATCCGCAGTCTTCTCAGATGAGACCAAGGGAGGTGAAGCCATCTGTCAGATGGCAGCAAGAGTTGGTGGAAACAGACCCTACCTCCATGGTCCCCAGAGAGCTGTTCAGGAAAGTGTCTAGACAGAAGGGTAAGGACTCCGCTTAGGAAGGAAATTGATGCTGGGGGGAGTCAAGTGCACAGCGATACGGGGTTCGGAGCTGGGACCAGCTACAGACCTTGGAATGGGACCTTACAGGCTGAGTTCTTGGAATGGGAACGATGGTTGTAGCCCTAATCTATCAAACTATCAAATTAACTATCCCCGGCACAGCATTTTAGAAATAAGGTTTCACTCTCTAAAGTAAGTACCATTATTACCCAGATGAAGGAACTGAGGCACAGAAACCTAAGCTGATGTGACCTAAGACGGTACACTTTTAGTAAGTGCAAAGGCTGAGGTTCAAACCCAGGCAGTCCTATGGGAAGCCTTTCCCCTCCCTTCCCCACTACAGCCAGTATACTGGCTGTGGAATTCCTTAGTACACAGCATGCCCTGAATCCTGGTGGCTTCCATGTCCCCTCTCCAAGCCCAGACCTGTTGTCTGACCCAGCTTCCTATTTCTTCAAACATCCAAAAAGTCCCATTATGATGGTGGTTGGGATTGTGACTGTGTCAGACACCCTTGGGTTCCCAAGGTGAGTGCCAGCACCTGCAGAATCGGATCCCAGAGGTGCAAGGAAAGTGCACGTAGGTAGGTTGGCACACCAGACAGCTTCATGGCTCACTGGGACACCATGTGCCCTTTGTCCTGTCTACCAGCCTTCCCTTCCCTCTTCCTACATTCTACATCTGAGCTCCTCACATCTGCTTTTCTTCTGAGCCAAACTATCCTTGAAATGGGAGCCTTTCCAGCTACCAATGGCGGGGGGAATCTCAACAAGAAAAGGAAAATGATCCCTCTTTTCCCATAATGCCAGAGAAAAAGATCTGGTCCTTAATCCTAGACCAACAGACTTTGTCTCTCACCATACAGGCTCACGAAACAGCCTGATCCAGCCTATTGCTATGATCTGGGAAAGTAAGTAATTAACCTCAGACGTCTGTAACTCCCATCTCCCTCCTCACTCACTAACAGTGGCCCCAGTAACAACATTCCTGAGATCTGTTTTCTTTTTTTTTTTCCTTTTATTATTCATATGTGCATACAAGGCTTGGGTCATTTCTCCCCCCCTGCCCCCACCCCCTCCCTTACCACCTACTCCACCCCCTCCCTCTCCCCCCGCCCCCTCAATACCCAGCAGAAACTATTTTGCCCTTATCTCTAATTTTGTTGAAGAGAGAGTATAAGCAATAATAGGAAGGAACAAGGGTTTTTGCTGGTTGAGATAAGGATAGCTATACAGGGCATTGACTCACATTGATTTCCTGTGCGTGGGTGTTACCTTCTAGGTTAATTCTTTTTGATCTCACCTTTTCTCTAGTACCTGGTCCCCTTTTCCTATTGGCCTCAGTTGCTTTTAAGGTATCTGCTTTAGTTTCTCTGCGTTAAGGGCAACAAATGCTAGCTAATTTTTTAGGTGTCTTACCTACTGAGATCTGTTTTCTGAAAATTATCCAACCTGTGCGTTTCTTACTAAGTCTGAAGGGGACCACTGACACTTTGCTCTTTTCACCTAGAAATGGAGCAAAAAGTGAAACCTGTGCATTCTTAGTTGCACAGAGCCTGGGAGTCACATCACATCCGGTTAGGACTGTCACCAGAGAGAGGGCCACTTGGCACTTTGCAGGGAGAATTCCAGCTGCCACCAAACATGCCAGCAATGCTGATAGGGACAAAACAACCACCAAAAACACAGCTGTCATTTTCCATACCCGAATCCTATGAGGTAGCTACTAGCCCTCCAATCATACTTGGCGTGAAAACCCAAAGACTTATTCTATTTTCTGTTTCTGTAACTAAACACCTGAGACTGGGGAATTTATAAAGGAAAATGTATTTCTTACAGTTCTGGAGGTTGGGAGTCTAAGAGCATGGTGCTATCCTCTGGTCAGCATCTGGTGAGGGCCTCATTCTGCATAGCCTGGGAAGACAGAGCAAGCATGCCAGCTCAGATCTCTCTTCCTCTTCTTAGAAATATAGCCACTATTGCCATCCTAGTGACCCCACCCTCATGACCTCATCCAACCCTAATTACCTCCCAAAGGCCCCACCTACAAATACCATGAACACAGGAATTTAGGGATTAAGTTTCAGGGGACATTTTCAAATCATAGCACCCAGAACTGGAGAGTTTGTGATGCCCCCTGGTTTTAAGGGGCTTGGCCACGTCTGTTCATCCACACACTCACTTTCTACCTCCAACCTCAACCCCATATCAGAGTCTACTATCATATTCCATTCTTATAAATAAGTCATCCCCTATAATTCCCACTGATGGCTCCCCAGGATAAATGAGGGTGGGGGACAGGTGTTTGGGACAGACTTTTTTCACTGAACATTCCCTTATTGTAAGCCAGGTCCACCCAGAACCAGCTAGAAATGCAAGGTGGGAGTGTGCCTTCAGAACCCCCAGGAGTTCTGAAAAGTTGGATGGCATGGATGGTGACTGGCTGACGGTAAGCAGGGAAGGACCTACTGTTTATGTCTCTTCCTTTCTTGCTGTAGTTTTGTGAGACCTTAAGCCCACTTCATCCAACTCACTCACTTTACAGTCAAGTGACGCGCCAACGACACACAGCCGTGAGCAGCAGGACCTGATCTAGGTGAGTCTAGGTTGGCCTGACTCAAAGTCCAGGTGTCCTTCTGGGTATTCTGTCCTCACCTTCTTTTGAGGCACCAGAGATTCCTTGCTCCCTTCCTTGATGCAGGTACCATCTTCCCTTCTTATTTTCCGGTGATCCTGAGGGCTGAGTTCCCTCTCCTCAGAAAATGGCCATTTTTAAGCCTCTTCTCCAAGTAGGGAGAAGTCGTCACCCTCCTTTCTTTCAGACTTTCAGGCTTATGTCAGCAAGTAAGAGAGAAACCTGAGGGAAACAAATGGCCTTCCCAGCAGGCAACGTCAGGCTGGACTCTGCCTTCTAGACAGCCTGGCCTATAACCCAGGTCACTGTGTCACTGCTGTCTGCACCCTGGTGCCTCCAATTTCTCATAGTAGCTCCAGTTCCCTAGGACACAGACCTCAAGCAATGACTGTGCTTGTTTGGTTATGAAATCTCAGGAGAGTGGGAAAGAAGGGGAGCAGTGGAAATTGGTTAACCTCTGCTTCTCAACGAGCCACGAGACAGCTTGTCAGGCAACTCTGGGCAGATCTTTGGACAAGGTCTAAGGAGAAATCATCAGTGTAAGGAAAAGAAGAGGGAATTTAGTTTTATTTCGCCAGCTCCCCCCTTGCCTTGGCCTTCTGTTTCTCACTTGTCCAATTCACTGTATTGGGCTTTTATTTCTGGGTTGCAAAATCAGCCCTTTTAGTAGCTGCTTGAGGAGCTCGATCCCACATTCCACAAGGTGGCATGGAAACCAAGCCCAAAGTCTGTGAAAGAAAGCAGTTTCATAGATCAGAAACTCTGTAAATGAAAAGACCAAACCTGGACAGTCAGCTGGTAGACCCCAGGTGACATGCCCACACAGGCTACCAAGGAACCCATGAGATCTGAAAAGTCTGAGAAGGTATGGGGTTGTCTAACACAGTCAGATCCTCACAGGCCTTCTGTCACATCTCACTTGCTGTCCTGTACATGGATCCGTGTGTATGTGTGTGTGTGACTAAGATGCTCTTTGTCCTTTCCCAAAGGCGGGGATGGCCAATGAGATTGGTCAAGTCCACTCAGTTACAGAAACCTTTTCAAGGTGGTGGCCAGTTTTGATCTCCTCTACAGCAGAAGGCAAGATGATCGTGACACAATCTACACTAGCTGCCACCACTGCATCAAGGCTACAGCAGATAGTTTTCATCTCCCTTCTCCACCATCCGTGGCTAGAATGTCACCTGATGTGGGTTACTTGCCTGGTGGGGTGACTCAACCTCTCATCTTTAAAGGGACTGAGTCCGTAGTTGCCTTTATTGATTTGGGGTTGCTTTAATTGCTTGTTGCCTGTGGGGTGAAAGTGCTAATGGATGCCTTACTTGGGTCCACTGATTCCCTACTCCTGCCTGCATTGCAACAACCTAGGTCTTCATGTTATCGGGTCAGTCACAGCCTCTGTGGATCCATGGTGCGAGAAACCAAAGTGACCAAGTGCGAGCCACAGTTCATTTCAGTGGCGCTTCACTGGGTCCTGTGAGAAGAGGCGTTTCCTCTGCTCCACCTTAAAACCATGTTGTAGATTTGTGTCCACTCGAAATTCCCATGAAGTCATACCCTAATCCCTCAAGACGTGACCTTTTTCAAACACTGAGCCAAAATAAATCTTTCCCCCCTTAAGTTGTTTCTCAAAGCTATCTGTCACAGTGACAGAAAGTTTGATTAACACCAACAGTGACCTACAGAAGACTGTCACTACCATACCCTGTGTCTGAACTAGTTTCCTGTGGCTGCTGCATGAGTTATAAACAAACACAACAGCTTCAGCTGGCTAAAATAACTGG